TTGAGCATCACCTTACTAACATGTGAAATAAGCACAATTGTACAGTAGTTTGAACATTCTTTGGCATTCCGTTCTTTCGGATTGGAACGTAAACTGAAGCCATTGTTGAGTTTTCCAAATTTGCTGGCACATTGAGCGCAGCACTTTAACCGCATCATTTTTTTTAGGATTGTAAAATAGCTCAGCTGGAATACTGTCGCCTTTGCTATCTTTGTTGTTGGTAATGTTTCCTAAGGCCCTCTGGATTTCGTGTTCCAGGATGTCTGGCTTGAGGTCAGCAATTACACCTTCATAATTATCAGGGACATTTAAGATCTTCCTTGTATTGTTCTTCTGTATAGTCTTGCCACTTCTTCTTAACCTCTTCTGCTTCTGTTAGGTCTCTCACATTTTTGTCCTTTGTCATCCCCGTCTGCATGAAACATTCCTTTGATATATTCAATTTCCTTGCAAAGATCTCTAGTCTTTCCCATTCTGTTGTTTTGCTCTATTTCTTTGCATTGTTCATTTAAGAAGGCCTGCTTCTCTCTCCTTGCTATTCCCTTTGTCCCTCATTTTCCTTCTTTCCTCGGCTATTTGTCAAGCCTCACCGGGCAACCACTTCGCTTCCTTGCACTTCTTTTTCTTTGGGATGGTTTTAGTTTTCTGCCTCCTGTACAATGGAGAGAATTGGCTGATATAGAATGACAGTATAATTAGTGCTTCACTAAAGTAGGAATGTGGAATAAAATGTGCTAAGTGCATTTAAATAAATACATTGTTTGGAAAATTCCCAATAACTGAACGATATTTCAGGCAGCGTTCAGAGTACCTCCAGGTTTCACCCCTTTCCGAAGTGCAGCCCGTGCCGCTATTCCAATCGAAGGACCAAGTGTTGCGGAGGAATTCCATCCTGATCCGAGGGGACACCACATTCACAAAAACAGGCGGGGCTTTGGCCATGCCCGTGGACACAAAAAGGGCCACAAACATGGGCATAAAAAGCCAAAAGAGAGTTCTTCTGAAGAAGTTACAGTTTTATCACCTGTTCAAACTCCAAATCAGCTGCCCACTTCAAAACCTTTTGTGGAACAGGAGGTTAACGGCAGAGGTCTCCATGAAGAAAAGGTTGGGTTTCCTGATGTCTCCCCAACACACAGCACCTCTACAGATTCCCCCACTTTCTTAGATCACCTGCCAGATCTACCAGAACCACCAAAGTGTCCTGGAACACCCTGGAAGCCTAAAAGAGATCCAGAGCCTCTGGACACCTTTAACGATTTTGACCTTTTGGATGCTCTCCAGAAATAAATAAATAAAAAAAAGCCAGTGAGTTATTTCTCCAGAAATGTTCTACTCTTAGAAATGATGAAGTTCTTGGGATTTCTGACTGCACAAAAGCATAACACTTAAATACAGTTGCAGCAAAGGTTGGCCTGCAGCAACAGCCTGCCTAGCTTCTTAATGTTTTGCAAGATACAGTAGTTGGCAAACAGTCAAACAAGAACTGTAATTCAGTCAGCTCAGTCAGCCAGCAATATGCACAACTGCCTTCTGCAGGGCCAGAATTACCTGCATTCAACCCTGGAGGGGGAAAAAAAAAAATCCCTGGAAGAAAAAGGGGCCGTTGCATGTCTAGAGCAGCTCAGTGGGTGAATTGCGTTAAGTTTCTCTGCAGTCAGTTAGCCAGGATGCTTTCCTAAACAATGATTATTTTGTGACAAATTTGTAGTAAGTGCATTGAATTCCGTACAATTATATTAATTAGGGCACTCTTTCTACTACTGGTTTTGTGATACATTTGATCGCACACCTTTCCTTGGCTGTCACAAATAAAAGACATGTACCAAAAGCACTGGAGGGCTCGATTTGCTTTATTTGAAACATCAGAAAAGTCACTGAAGGCTTAGCCAAATTTATGTCCTCAGAGCCCAAATTTATGAGCAATGAACAATTTCTCAGAATGAAGCCCCCCTCCTTCACCTCTTGAACCCCTCCAGCTCAGACATACTCATGCGTACCTTCGTTCGAAAACCAAACTGGGTGGTCTTCTTAGAAGGCTTGTTTTGCAGACATGTGGCACATTATTATCATGATGATGCTTCCTTGCACAGCAAGCCAGATGTTTAAACTGGGTTTGGCATCTTTGTCCACCTATCAAGTCCTTTCCAAGGACCTGGGGTAGGCAGATGTTGATGTTTGATGGTGTTAAAGATATTGTCACAGGATGTAAACTGTTATATGAGTAAATCTGCCTTTAACAATTAGCTGATGATTTTGTCAATGCCAATGACGTTTAAGGGGTGCTCCAGATGTTTTGGGATTGCACCCAAGGCACCTATTCCTATCGTATTACCTTTGCCTCTTAACATTTATATGCGTCATGACACTCAGCAACTCTGGGCATTTAGGATGCTTTCCATGATTTATCTAGGCCAGACATGTCAAACACAAGGCCTGGGGGCCGGATGCGGCCCGCAAAGTGGTTTCATGTGGCCCGCGAAGCCATCCTGGAAACAGTGAGGGAACGGCCCCCGCTGCCTTGGCCCTGGCCTAGGCCAGCCGGGAGCCAATGTACAATTTTGTGGTGGCCATCTTGGCACTTGCCCCAGTGGACCATGCCTTGGCACTTGCCCCGGTCCCACCCCCTTCTGCCAGAGACCCTCAGATCTGTCCCACTCCTGCCCAGGCCCCCCATAGGCACCCTTGACGCGAATGATGTAGAACTGGCCACACCCACCCAGTAGGCCACACCCACCCAGTAGGCTGCACCCACTCTGGCCACACACACACCCAGGGCAACCGCAATGCTGATGCGGCCCTCAGTGAAATTGAGTTTGACACCCCTGATCTAGGCAGTTTTTTTCTCTTTTCTGATGATGGGCAGATTTTGCACTTAAGGGGCCCAATTTTGTTTTTAGATGGCCGTCCAGGATTCATCTCAAAGGCAATAGGTGACTAATGACCTAAGGCTCTCCGAGGGCTCCATCTGAGATTAACTGGCTTATGCAAACAGTTTGCATATATCAGCTACAGATGCTACAGATAAAAGTCAGAAATGGCCACCAGAACTCTGGGAAAGGGCAACCAATTAATTGTAAGGGCAAAACACAGGGGCTCAGAGATAGCCAAAAGGCAGAGTTGCTGGTTTTGTCGTTGTTCTTGGCCATCAGTGCCCAAAGCCAGTGGCTATCTCTCCCATAAAGTTTATTTTATTTATTTATTAAATTTATATGCTACCCATCTAACTGTTGCAATGACTCTAGGCGGCTTACAGAATAACAAAAAGTAAAAAAAAAAGATAATGCTTCCTGTCTGGTGCCCTTAAATCAGGGGTAGGCAACCTTGGCTCTTTTATGACTCGTGGACTTCAACTCCCAGAATTCCTGAGCCAGCCACGCTGAGGGGAAAGGGAGAGGTTTCCAAGCTGAGCCAGGCTGGCTCAGGAATTCTGGGAGTTGAAGTCCATGAGTCCTAAAGTGGCCAAGTTTGAGGACCCCTGGTTTAGACCCTTAGGTGGCAGTTGAGCTCCCTGTGCTTCATAGTCCTCCTTCCTTGCTATCACTCAGCCTACCTGCTTTTGCCAGCTCTCAGAAAAGGCTTATGGAGGGAAATGACTGAAAGTGTCAGTCCACAAACTGGCCAACGGATCTGTCCTTCTAGCTCAGGGGTAGGCAACCTTGGCTCTTTTATGACTCGTGGACTTCAACTCCCAGAATTCCTGAGCCAGCATGGCTCAGCTTGGAAACCTCTCCCTTTCCCCTCAGCATGGCTGGCTCAGGAATTCTGGGAGTTGAAGTCTACGAGTCATAAAAGAGCCAAGGTTGCCTACCCCTGAGCTAGCTGGTTGGTGTGATTATCAGGTTCCACCTCCAAAGGCTCCATTTGAGGACACCGTTCTTCGTTTCAGGTGTTACATGGCGCTCCGATTTGAGACAGAAGAGATCAGCCCTCCCCCCGCTGATCATTTTTCACAGCACTTGCTGGCCCTGTCAGTTGTTGAGCAAGGCTCATATTTCCAAGCCTCCCAGCAAGTTTATGACAGGGAAATCTAACAGAAAGCCAGCACCAGCAAATCTGTCACATTTAATAAGTGCTAACGTGAGAGGTTTTTACACAAAGTAGACGGTTTGGTTATAATGTGTATTTTTTAAAATCATTTTACCTAACATCACCCAAATAAAGGCATTGTTTTCTGAATAATACACTTTCCTAAATAGAATCAGAAACAAACAATATGCTCTGATCTGCCTCATACAGATGTTCTGAAATGCAAATCCCAAGTCGAAAAAAGTTTAGGCAAAACCAGCGGACCTTTTTTCCAAACATCATATTTTAATAGTACCTTTTTTTCTTGCCTGTGCCAAGGACCCGTCATAAACTGTGGTATATTATGAAAATAATAGGACCCAGGTCTCCAGGGTGTTACTTTATCAAGTCAATCTTTTCGAGGAAGAAAGAATAGATTCATTAGCACTGTATTATGGAAAACACAAGTCCCAAGCCTCACAAGAAAATTATAACTCCGCTGCACCCAGAATTGTATTGTTTGCATGTGAGGCTTTGTGAAATGTTGTGCACATAACCTTGAATTGTTTCATCTGGCTAAAAATGTTCTCCAGGTGCTCAAGAAAAGAAGGCTTTTGTGTCCCTTTTGAAGTGCTGGTTTGGATCCTGGCCCTTATTTATTGGCATTTATTTCTGAGAGTTCTGTCTATACCAGGGGTAGGCAACCTTGGCTCTTTTATGACTCGTGGACTTCAACTCCCAGAATTCCTGAGCCATCCTGGCTCAGCTTGGAAACCTCTCCCTTTCCCCTCAGCATGGCTGGCTCAGGAATTCTGGGAGTTGAAGTCCACGAGTCATAAAAGAGCCAAGGTTGCCTCCCCTGGTCTATACCATTCCCAACTGGCTAAGAGCAATGTATAAGGAAAAAGCCATAACACCATTTTAAAAAAAGGAAACTAAAAAACAATACATAAGGATGCCTTCCCCTGAGGTCAGGCCAAATTGGCATCCCCAAGGCGTTATGAAATAACCAGGTTTTCTACAGCTCTGTGAAAATCCAGCACAAGAGGAAGCAGCCTGGATGTTGTGGGATCCTGAAGACGAAGCTCCCTCAGTGACAAAATCCTCAACATGTCTTCTCTCTCTGGTCTCCCTAGATGGGCAGATTCATTTCGGAGCCAAAATTCTTGAAGACATCCAGGTCTGCAGTCATGAAGGACTTTAAAGGTGATAACTAGCACTTTGAACTGTACACAGAGTTTCCTTCTAACCAATGCGACACCCAAAATAAAGAGATTATATTGGTAAATGTAGATGCTCCCACAAGTAGCTGGGTGTCAGGTGCAAGGAAGCAGAACAATTCTGTGAATAGGCCAAAACAATTTATTGTTGATCACCTATTTTACAGGAATCTTACCAGACTGACTGCATTTCCTTTGGAACTGTGAGATAAAGGCTTCAATGATCTGGCCTCTGCAGTTTCCTCCCACAGAGCAACTCTATACTAGAATGTCTTTTTATTCCCCCTTCTCTTTTAGCCAGTGATTCCACTACACTGGGCAGCTGCAAGTTGTAGTACTTTTAGATTCTGGTCTTCAAGGGCATCCCCATGTAGTTTGAGTGGCAGTAGTCCAACCATGAGTTAACAACAGCATGAACAACTATTCAGTATGCAATGCTGCCTGATCCAGGAAAAGATGCAACTAACGCACTAGGGGTAATTGTACAAATATTTTTCTGGATGCAATTCCATCTTTATTCCAACAGAAGCTGAAAGTGCAGCTTGCAAACCAGCTCTGATAATAATAATAATAATAATAATAATAATAATAATAATAATAATAATAATAACAACAACAACAACAACAACAACAATAACAACAACAACAACAAATTTATTGTCACTTTGAAAGTACACCAATCGGCATACATCAAAATGAAATTTCGTTGCATACAGCTCTCAAAGGGTCACCACCTCCGATATACACTCCTTTTTCGTGGCCAGCTCAAGTTACAGATCTACCATTTTAGTCTCTAGGGAGCGAACGATGGCAAACAGGACAGATGGAAAGGAGCTCCATGTGGATTATCCCTCAAATTAGCTTGTATTCCTGCACGACAACCTCGCCTCCTTTCCTTTTTCTGATCCTGTCTCTTCCACCTTTTCCTTAAAAAGGCCTTGCTTCTTTTCGCCCCTGATCTAAAGATGGACCATCTCTGGATTCAAAAGGTCTCCAGATCCACCACCATTCTGCCTTGTTGAGGTCAGCCAACAACTTTGGCATGCAACGCACGTGCTCTGC